GAGACGCCACGTTGTGTTGGCAAAACAAGCGTGAAGTGTTGCTTTTATAGTTTGCTGCCATTAAGTTTCGTTTTCATTTTCTCTCTGTGAGAGCTCATCTGAATCACGTGTGGATTAACAGTGTACACGACGCTCGACAACAATAACTTACGTGTCTAAGGAGGAACATTGTTTACCTGAGAGCTGTTCTCATCTGCAAACGCTGAAATCCGGATTCGCTTGTAACGTTAGTCTCCTCTTCATAAAGACGCAGCTCTAGTTGCTGGTGATTGTCCTGTCTCTACAGATTTGGTAAGTGAGCGACCAGTGCTCTTTGTTTATTCAGTTTGTTCGTATCGAATTAAGTTAACTATTGCACTGAGTGCAAACATAGCACCGCATTTTGTGACCGGAATAACACACGCGGCTTTCTGACGCTACCTGGCGTGTGCATCTAAGTTTCCGGGAAATGCAGAGTTTTTTTTTTTCTCTCATTCGCCGTGCGGTATCAAACATTGCATGAAAAATACACGCTTAGAGCAGCTCCTCGAATCAAATATCGCGTTTGTCGCGAGGGGCATGAATGAATTCCCTGAATGAAAGAGCCAAACTGCAGTTAAAGTCCAACATTTAATAATTTGGCAAATAATTCGACTACAGATGTCCATGTAGGTTAAACACCATCACTTTCTCATGTGTGAGTATTTTGACTGAAACTCACGCGTGCCCAAATAGACACTCCCACACCATCCCACTTTAGTTCCTCCGACACTCCCCCCTAAACAGAGCTGGACACGCCCACTTTTCTGACTTTTTCCAAAGTAGAGGTGTGAAAACACCCTGCTGAAACGAGGGGGTTTCATGGCCCTTTAAATGTAGATGCTGAATCACTGATATGTGTTGGTTTTGAGTCACAGTTCTAAAGTTCAATCTCAAACAGTTTATTTCAATTTCAAAATCTGAGGTGAACTCTCTGCTGCGGCTTTCAGTAGTTTGGCAATAAATGTAATGTAAAATGGCAATCAAACTCACATTATTAGCATTTAACACTGAAAAAAAGCACAGGAGGTGTACCTCCATTGTCAGTTTTCTTCAAGAAATAGAAGTTTCTAAAATATGTTTTAGGTGTTGGCTAGGGCAAAAACCCTATAAATCCTATAATATAGAAAATATTCCTTCTATCGCATGTCTTTTATTTATTAGAACACAATTTAAATCAGCCTTTGATGGTGTCAACAATCTGGCAACCTGCATCTGTGCGCGTTTTGAACAAGGGGTGCAACACCTAGTTCAATCACTGGGTGTCAAACTTACATACTGCACCTTTAACATACTAGTATTGAAGGAAGTGATTTCAGATGCAACTTGTAATGGTACAGCAGAGATACCCTTTACCATAGAATCCAAAAAACAAACTCTGAACTCCAAAAACGATCACAGCTGAACATTTTTAATATCAGTACTCGCGTTTCTGCAGTGCAAAAACACTTTGGTGGACACACACCCTTTACTTTTTCAGCAGAAAAGTTCAAATATATACCGTTATTAGTTACTTTGTAGCCAATTACACCCAACACTAAGTCAATGGCAGTGTAATGTGGACAAAAGGCTGTAATGATGATTAAATGTTTGCACATTGAGCTAAATCCAGTGCCTCGTGGATAAAGTGATGAATATTTTTCATCATATTTTTCATCAGATAGTTTTAGTGAACTATCTCTTTAACATTTCCATTGTAAATCAATCTACAGTCTAAAATAAGGTGAGAGCCAACATGTGGTCTCCTCCTATTAAGAACACATATGGAGCACATTCTACATACTGTAGTATAAATGTTACGCAGGTAACCTTTCAACAACAGACGACTACATAACCACTGACGTTCATGGCTGGTCACAAGACTCTAATGAGGCTGTGCCGGGAATAAAGGAGTTTAGGGAATTATGGATGCCAATTAAATACACTAGGTTACAACAACATAAGCTATAAAATACTGCTATAAATATATATATATATATATATATATATATATAGTATATCCTATATATATATATATATACTATACTGCTATAAAATATATTCTTTTTAAATGTCTGGGTAAAAAACATAACTTTTTCCACCCTTTGAAAACAATATATTTTATTTTTTGAAAGATTTGTAATATTTTGGAACAGTAAACATGTCAGGCTAAATAATTCAAATGAATCATTGACTTCTGCTGTCTTCATTAGTTTTAAAACACAGATTTCTTCACAATTTAAAATGGCATTGTTGGATATTTTTTTCTGCTGAAGATACTGTTGTCCTAAAAAAAACCTAAATAAAAATCTATGATACTGCCCATCACTACAAGGTTTTCACATCGATTTAGGCTTGACTTCTTTTTTCTTTTCAAAGCAGGTCTGTGGTTGACTGGCATCTGTTTAGTCAAGTCAGTCATTATACATGACACACGCCGATGTACAATACCAGGATACACCTTAAACTTGGCAACACAAGTCAGTTAGTAGTAAGTTTCTGAGACAAATAACTTGTTTTTAATTTTATGTAACATATCACGAGGTTTTAATAAATAAAAACTAAATAAATGCCTATTAATTAAACGGATATTTCACCCAAAAACAAAACTTCTGTCACATTTCACATTTTAGGTGCTTTATTGGCACGACAAATAACTGTACATTCGTGACAAATAACTGTACGCTCTGTCACTCACTCGCTCACCCTTCATTGGTTTTTAAAACCTGTATGAGTTTCTTTCTTTCTCCTGACACAAAAGAAGTTATCTTTAAAAAGGCTGGAAACCTTTAGGTATTTCCATAGGATTCTAGTTTGGTTACCGGATTCTAACATTCTTCAAAATATCTTCTTTTATGTTCAACAGAAAAAAAGACAGTCATAAAGGCTTGAAACTATTTGAGGGAGAGTAAATAGTGAGAAAACTTTTCATTTTGAGTGAAAATTAGGGAAAATTCTTGCTGGACATTTACTCTAAACACAGCAGTACTGTTGATGGTGATTATCTGTTATAAAAATGTCTGTCACACCCATAACGGAGAGATGTCACATCCATAACGACACATTTTCCTCATAAATGTAAAAAAATATTAAATCAAATAAAACCATTCATTTTTCATTTATAGAGAGCTGATTAATATCCTTTTGATTATCATTGTTTTTTTTGGATTGTGCAGTTTAAATTTACAAAATTTCTACAAAGTATGTTGTATTCTGTAAACCCGCAGACTTTTTTTTGTCACATCCATAACGCATGTTTATTTTCCTCATTTAAAGTACAAAACATGTATATTTTCTGATCTCATAACTCTGCGGTCAGTTGTTCTGGAAAATATAAACAAAAGTTTCAATGTAATGTTAACATACACTTTTTATGCAAATTTATGCTTTGAGTTTTTACTACAAACGTCACATCCATAATGATGGAATATATATAATAGAATATATATAATGAGCAAGTCCATGCAAATGTCAACCCTTTGCATTTTAGCCAAACTGTCAACAGTTTTTTTGTGAAAGCAAGTATTTAACAGTGCTTTAAAATACTCAAAAATGTCTCTGTTAATGTTTTCAAACTATTATTTATGATTTACCAAAATCCCACAATGCCATTTTTAAATCTGTCACATCTGTAACAGAGCTTTTTCCTCATAAATGCAAAAATATTCAATTAAATTAAATCAATTATGTTTGTTCTATAGTGAGTAAACTCTTACCCTTTTGATTAGCATGATTGCTTTTGGGTTGTGCAGTTTAATTTACAGAATTTCTACAAAGTATGTTGTTTACTGTAAACTCACAGATTTTTTTGTCACATCTATAACGCATGTTCATTTCCCTAATTTAAAATATTAAATATGTTTACAGATTGATATTTTTCTGCTTCCATATTTTGTGTTTAGTTGTTTTTGGAAATAAATAAACAGATGTTTCAATATAATGTTAACGTATACTTTCTACGTAAATTTATGTTTTAAGATTTTACTGCAAATGTCACATCCATAACGCTGGAATTGCTCATATATATATATATATATATATATATATATATATATATATATATATATATATATATATATATGTAAAGGGAAACTTAAAAGGGCAATTTTCCTAACCTTTAGGCTTTTTTGAGCCTTCAGAAGCCTGGTATTTAAACAGCTGTATCTCTCCCAAATATTGTCTTATCCTAACAAACTGTGCAACAATGGAAAGCTCCTTTATACATGTATGACTTATGCCGAGAAAATGACTTTTGCCTACTGTTGTGGTACAAATGTGTCTTGATCAAAGTATGACTGACAAGATTTTTGGTATGATTTATTGCTTAACTAAACGGCGAATGAGAAGAGGTTGTCGTTGTGCTAATACATTATAACGAAAATTTAAATGCTTGGTGGCTATTATTATTTTTAGTTCTGAAAAAGGGAACAGGATACACACTATATGCTATTTCGAAAGGGGAAATGTTGTTGCTGTTTTCTTTAAAAGAAAAACTAAAACCTATATTGCATCTTCATGTATGTCAAGACGCCGTGTGCCAACAAACTTGTGACAAGGCCAATGTCAGCGATCATAAGCAAATCATGCGGAAGCTCGTTCCAGTGAGCAAGTCCAGTATGGCCCGAATAACAAGAAGTTTGAATTCTGAAGATAAAAGAAAGCGCGCTGCATCGTAATTCTCGAGTACGTCACCATAACGCCTGCATAATAATGACCTGCGTAACCGTCCTCGACTCTCAAACAATAACAACGCCAATAATACTGTCGCGCACAGGGGGAATCCAGCCTCTAGTATGCAGAAAATGTGTAGCATGAGCAGTGCGCAGGACAATTCTGCACACGTAGCGACTTGAAACGAGTGTCCAAGCCGAATCCAGCGCGCTAAACTTTTCTATTCATCTGTCGTGTTAACAATGGCCGTGTAAATAATGCATGTGACAGGTGCGGACAGCGATGCTTCGGTACACACACGCTTCGAGGATGACATTTCCAGTGTACATTACCTGATAAGAGTCTCATAGGTTTGTGTAAACGTGTCCAGATCCTGTTGTCTTCTTTCTTCTGTCCGCGAACCCAGTTTTTATCTAGATGGCGACGGCTGGCGAGCGTTTAGCCCACTCGCTGCCTTTTAAAAGCGCACGTTTTCGGCGACCAACCGGCGAATAAACCTGTACATCTGGAGCGAGGCCATTTCCCCACCTTTAAAAGAAATACACGCAAGGATTTCATAAACCTCCAATGCGCCGCTGCAGCAAACACTGCATTTCTCCACCGTACTGACAGGCAGGCTGCGCGGTTACGTCAGCACGAGCCCCGCCCACTTCCCCTCCCAGCACACACCCCTAATAAAGCTACGCCCCCAGACTACAACCTTCAGCCTGCTTTAATTCACAAATAAAAGACACGCATTACGACGACTTGTTTATTAATATAAAAACATTGCTCTTATGCTTTCATGTACACAAACCCATGTTTGTTTTTGTTGTAGATGTAAATGTTTTATTGATTCATATTTCTGTCTGCATTCAAAAATCAGTAGCTAATCACTAATTCAACATACTAATCAATAAGTCAACAAACAACATAGGTTTTTATGTTTATTATACAGTATTAAACTAAAGTTAATAATGTTTCTAATTAATTTTTTAAAGTTATGCAAGCTGTTTAACGTAATTTCAGTTAAAATTACTCCTAAGCTTAATTGAATTCAACTTATATATTTAAATTAACCTGAATATGCCTGTGTCTGTCTGTCTGTCTGTCTGTCTGTCTATCTATCTATCTATATATCTGTCTATCTATCTGTCAGTCTGTCTATCTATCTATCTATATATCTGTCTGTTTGTCTGTCTGTCTGTCTGTATATTTTGTTCATCCAACTTTTGACTATGGGACAATATAATGCATAATATAAAAAATATTACATTTAAAACATATTTAATATTCAATTAAACAAATAAAAAGTTTAACTGAAGGAGTAAATTCACAGCAAATACATTTTTAAACAATTTTTGAAATGTATGGTGTAAATAAAACTTTCATCTACACGTTTTTCTTAATCCATGTCACAATTTTAATAGGAAAAAAGAGAAAATGCCAAAGAGAGAGAGAGATAGTTTAGAAAATGCTCACTTTGAAAATTAAAATAATTAATTATTGTACAAGCCTTTTATGATTTAACATACTGTATTAATATAACACACACGAACCCCAGCAGAAAGGCACTAAAGTATGAGACAGCAGGATTTATTTTGCTGATAGTGTCTGTTTCATGTGTTGTGCAATATTGACCACGCAATGACACAACATGTGGAAACTAACTGGGGGGAGCACAGTGAAAGCTTTGAGCTGTTTTTGTTTTGTTGGTTTTAAATTGCTTCCAGAGAAAGTCTCGAACAAACTGTCTGCAGCTGCTTACAAATGAAATGTTTGTTTCTTTGACCCCTATCTATTCAATTCAATTCACCTTTATTTCTATAGCGCTTTACAATGTAGATTGTGTCAAAGCAGCTTAACAATGAAGTTCTAGTAGATTGAAGCGGTGTCAGTCCAGTTTTCAGAGTTGACGTATAGTTTAGTTTGGTTCAGTGTTGTTTAATTTTCACTATTGAAAGTCCAAACACTGAAGAGCAAATCCCTTGGTGCGCAGCTCCACAAGTCCCAAATCAAGCAAGCCAGTGGCGAGGAACAAACTTCACCAATTGACGAAAGTAAAAGAAAAAAAATACAAACATGAGAGAAACCAGGCTTAGTCAGGCATGACCATCTTCTGGCCAAGTTTCTTGGGCGTATCTGCAGTCTAGGCGCCAGAGGCTGGAGAACACTGGACGTCCATCGTGAAGAAGCTGTATTAAACATCATATTGGATTGCATAGATCACACAACAGAAGTTGAATAGTCTTCTCTTATTTCCCTTGACAGACCTTGACTACAGCATTTAGACAACATGATTACTAACTTCTTTTAAGGTTGAAATCAACTTATAATTAGTAGGATGTTTTTATCAGTCAGTTCAAAGAAAAGACCATAATATGAAAACATGGGTGGAACCAACATTTGGCCATTAAATACAAATTGACACAAAAGGCAACTTTCAGGAATAATAAGTGCTTATGATTATGGCTCACTGGTTATCACTGTTGCCTCACAGCAAGGTTGCTGGTTTGAGCCCCAGCTAGGGCAGTTGGCATTTCTGTGTGGAGTTTGCATGTTCTCCGCGTGTTGGCATTGGTTTCTTCCGTGTACTCCAGTTTCCCCCAAAAACATGCACTATAGGTGAATTGAATAAGCTTAATTGGCCGTAGTGTGTGAGGATGTGAGAGTGTATGGGTGTTTCCCAGTGCTGAGTTGCAGCTGGAAGGGCATCCACTGCGTAAAACATATGCTAAAATAGTTGCCGGTTCATTCCACTGTGGTGAGCCATGATAAAAAAAGGGACTAAGCCGAAGGAAAACAAATGAATGAATAAATGATTGTTTTTTTGTCCCAACACTCTTAAATACAGTATGTTGGATTATTGTCAGTGGTGGAAAGAGTACAAAAAAATCATACTCAAGTAAAAGTACCATTACTTGCCCAAAAATGTAGTGCGAGTAGAGCAAAAGTATCTGATGTGAATATTACTCAAAGCATGAGCAAAAAGTAGCCTTTTAAAAGGTACTCGAGTATTACACTGTGAAATGCTGAAATATTTATATGCAATTTGTGTGTGTGTGTGTGTGTGTGTGTGTCTGTGCGTAACGTGCATTTAGTGATTGTTTAAGAGTCATTGCGTGTAAAGATTTTGGGCATCATCCTGAACACTTTTATTGCTTCCAAACTAGTCACACTCATTCACTACGGCCAATTTAGTTCATCTGATTCACCTATAGCGCATGTCTTTGGACTGTGGAGGAAACTGGTGTTCTGTTGATTTGTCCTACCTTGTCAGATTGTCATACCTCCTATTCAAAAAGTAGGTATCACATTTTGATGGTGCAGTACGCTACCCATCAGATTTTGCCACCAGTGTAAATTTTAATGTGTAGTGTGAAAATGTGTAGTGTGAAATAAAGAGGAAATATCGCCCTAACCTACCTAATCTCTAACCACAACCATAACCATTTAACCTCATGTCGTGTTGGCATCCTTATTCTTACTTAAGTGTTCCCGGTTTGTTTTAACTGCTATTATATTAGATTAAAAAAAATGTCACCACCAAAATTTTATACAAAACTATTTAGTTGTGAACAATGTCTCAAAGTAGTGTTTAACATGAGTTTATTGAATTAGACATAAAATAACTGCAGTGAAATTAAAAATAGGCACTGAAAATATTTAGAAAAAATTACCAATAGATGACAGAAATCAAAAGACTTTGTTTCGTTAATAATAGACAGCTCACTAAAATAAATATCGCAGGGTCTGACCAAAGAAATTGAAATTTGAATCCATCTGAATGGGACTATTGGACTATATCAGTGTACTAATGTAGGGAATAGTGACTGAGGGTTTAGACGGTGAGCATGGACTAGCACTTCTTATACAATTGAAGTCAGAATTATTAGCCCATTTTAATTTTTTTTTTCTCTTTTAAATATTTCCCAAATGAAGTTTAACAGAACAAGGACATTTTTACAGTGTCTCATAATAGTTTTTTTTCTTCTGGAGAAAGTCTTATTTGTTTTATTTCGGCTAGAATAAAAGCAGTTTTTAATTTTTAAAAAACATTTTTGGGACAAAATTATTAGCCCCTTTAAGCTAACTTTTTTTTTCGATAGTCTACAGAATAAACCATCGTTATACAATAACTTGCCTAATTACCCTAACCCACCTAGTTCAACTTATTAATCTAGTTCAGCCTTTAAATGTCACTTTAATGATGATGAAGAAAGATTCAGAGGCATGTCACGCTTTTACTTTATTCAATTACCCCAAAAAACACAGATCAATGACTCCTTGGGTGTATAGAAATAAAAATCACCAAAGTAATGTAACAAAACAACTTGGTGCACAGGAGTGATGTTGTGTGCAACACTCATTATTTTAGTTTGGGTTTGTTTTTCATACAAAAAGACTTATTTTCAAAACTGTACAAATACTTTTTTAGGTTTGGATGTTGGGGGTTGTGTATGAAAGACAAAACAAAGGGGACAGTTCATTCAAAAATGACAAATCTGTCATCATTTACTCACACTTCCCTTGTCAAAAGCATGTTTGAGTTTCTATCTACCATTGAATACAAAACAATATATAAAAATAAACAAAAAAAATATATATATACTGACTTGACTGACAAGAGAATTTATCCTTCCTATGGAAATCAATGGTTACAGGTTTCAGCTTTCTTCAAAATATCTTCTTCTGTGTTGATAAAGGTTTAAAACCACCGGAGGGAGACTAAACAGTGACAGAATTTTCATTTTTGTCTGAATATCCTTTTAAGAAAGCTACAAGTGAGACATTTATAAAGGTGAAGTGTGTTTTTTCCATGTCAAGATGATTACTTGTAGCACTGTTTAATATCCCAAATATAGGCCCATAGCTATATGGGCCTATATAGCTATTGGGGGGTTTGGGTGGTTGAGAACACCTACTCCTCCCTGACAAAGGTATTCAATTTGTCCCATACATGAGCTCATTAGTCCTTTTTTGACCGCTATGCCATCATGGTGAAAATTAACCATCAAAAAAGGCTTTAAGACCAAGCAGAAAGCTCTGTTGGCAGTCGGTTCGGTGTGACTTCAGCTAATCAGTTTTGGCCAATGCTAACATACATTTTTCACCAGTCCAAGCTGTGCAATCTGATGTAAGAGAAGTCATCTTTTGCTATTGTATTGTTGAGAAAACATTTTAAAGGTAGCTTTTATTCAAAATCTTTGACCTTATTCTTAACCAGTGTTGCCAGATACGACTTTTTTCAGCCCAAAAGCTGCCCAAAAACCCTTCCAAACGCACACACATACACAAAAAAAACATAAAATATTAGATTACTGTTTAATTTTTTTTTTAAATTTCTAAATTAACCTAGTTACTTTAACTGTCATATTTTTTAACCAACCAGCAGTCACAGAACCATAACATAACCGGATCACATTGAAACACTGCCCCCCCTTTCACTCACACACTGCACTATTAGAGTATGTTTTACTTTCATAATGGCGTATAAATTAATCTCAATTGGCATATTAAATTCTTTTAACCATAATTAGGTGCTGCTTGTCAATCAAACAGCGCTTCTATGTTTGCGCTTGCTGTTAATAGCAGAAAAATGATCGATAAAAGTGTCATGATTAATCAATGTGATTTTATCTTCAGGCACTGC